CCTATCCAGTGTATTTTTTATCTCAAGCATTGGTTTTTTTCACCTAAGTTTGAATTCAATTGTTTTTATATCTTGCTTCTCTTTTACATACGTATGTTTTCCTATAGCATTTTGAACATATGGACTATAACTGTGTTTAAATACTTGTGTAATAATTCTATCATTAGTGTCTTTTTAAATAATTTCTATTGATCGATTTCTCTTCATTATGGGTTGCATTTTCTTACTTCTTTGCATACCTTATAATTTTTCACTGCATTCCAGACATCATGAATTTACCTTGTTGAATGTTAGATATTTTTGTATTCTTTTAAATATGCTAGAGCTTTACTCTGGAATGCAGTTAATTTACTTGGAAGCATTTTGATCTTTTCAAGGCTTGCTTTTAAGTTTTGCTAGGCAGGACCAGAGTAGCCTCTAATCTTGGGCTAATTTTTCCCTTTTACTGAATACTTTACTTGATGCCCTGTTTATTACAGATTTTCTACTCTGGCTGGTGATAATACAAACTGTTCTGCACTCTAACAATTGTCTCTTCCATTCCTCCCTGGTGTTCTTTTCCTGGCATCAGCTAGTTCCTCACACATATATGCTTATTGTTACTCAGCTGAAGACTTGAAGGAAATCCTCTGTAGATCTCTGGCGCTCTCTCTGTACAATTCTCTCTTCTCCGTGTAGCTTTTTTTTTCCCTGTCTTGGACTCTGCCCTGTGAACTCTAGCTACATTGGCTTCCTTAAACTCTCAAATCTGTCTCTTTAACTTGAGAAGATTTCCTATTTAAGTTTCCCTTCCCTGGCTGTGTCCTGGAAATCTCCAGGCAGTAAGCAAGGACAATCATAGCACTCATCTCATCTTTCAAGTTTATCTTAGGGATTACTGTTCTATATTGCTTATTGTCCAATGTCTGAAAATATTTCATACATTTTGTCCAGGCTTTTAGATGTTTAATGTGAAAGGGTAAATCCTGTCCCTGTTACTCCATCTTGGATGGAAGCTATAGTCCTCAATAAATGTTTTACTCCATTCTCTAAACACTGAGTGATTTCATCATTGGCAATAGACTAGGTTCTTACTGGTAACTTCAGTGTTAGACCTTCCGGATGTTCATGGCTAGGCACCATGGCAAGTTTACAATGATATGTATTATTGTGATGTCTCCTATTTGTTTCAGATATCTCTTGTTTTCTCATTTAGACTGCAAATTCCCTGAGGTCAGAAACCCTCCAATCTTATGTTTCTATGTATCTTCCACCCAAAACTAGACAAATCTATTTTTAACTCTTACTCAATCTTGACCCATTTGAAAATTCCATTTGAAGTGTTACCAAATAATACACGTAAGAATAGAGTTTATGTTAAACATCAATACCACGTATTCAAATGCTATGAGTGAAAATGAATGCTGATTCATCCCCTAATTTTATAAACTCTAGCAGGAAGAACCACCACCCTTACCTTCATTGTGGTCAGTTGAGAACTGTCTTCTAATTATCCACCGGCTTGTCAATATCTTTTTAAGAAAGTAATTTTTTCAAAAATGTAGATAAATCAAAACCCTATAAATTCTACACACTTAAGTAGCTAGTTCTTCAGTAACAGAGCGCTCTGACCTTTCATGTAAAAGCATAGTAAATATTAGTCAAATTAAATATTATTCACTTTGTAAAGTAATAATATTCAATTAGATCATTTTGGAATTTTGTTTTTTTCATCAACGAATTGTTATTAATTCTAATCTAAGAAGAAATAAGATAAAATCATGTTTTAAATCTGCTTTAATATTCTGGTAGTATATAGGGAAAAAATACGTGCTATTTCATCCACTCCCTCTGCAACAAATACACCCTCATTCAACAGTAAATACTTTTCAGGTTCTGTCTTTGGTGTTAAGGATGCCGCTGAGGGGAAGACACCAAATGCCTTGTTTTCATGGTATATTCCCTCTTGGTACTATTCATTTTATGGAGGCTTTATTTAGGTTAATAGCATAATATATTTATAATACGTGAAGATCCATGGGTTTATTCAACAAACCATTTGTTGAGTACCTTATATATTCCAGACATTGTTCTAGGCACTGATATTACAGCAGTGAACAAAACAGACAAATCCCCTGCTTTCATGGAGCTTATATTGGAGGTTGGGTGGCAGTAAAGTAGATAAACATAAGGCAGGTGGTAAACGCTCTAAAGAAAAATAAAGCAGGGTGATGAGCCAGCTAGTCATGAGAAGGAGTTCTGTTTTATGTAGGGGTATCAGGGAAGACCTCACTTGTAAGATATGGCACTGTTACAGAGACACAATTGAGGAAACTAGTTAGCCAGGCAGACTATTTGGGGAATTATTCCATTCTGAAGGAACATTGCAAGTGCAGATACATGAATGCAGGAGTAGGCTCGGCGTATTTGGGTGGAACCAACAGAGCAAGGGAGGAGTGTCAGGAAATGAGGGTAAAAGGGGAGAGGAGTAAAATTAAATAAGACAGTATACTCCATAAAGAAGTAATTGCATTTTACTTGGAAATGGGAAGCCACAGGAAGGTTATGAGCAGGGGAGAGACATTACCACATTTATATCATAAAACTATTGCTTTAGCTACTATTGAGACTGACTTTGGAAGGGTAAGAGCAGAAGCAAGAAAATGACAAGGCTATTGCAGTTATTCGGGTGAGAGATGGGTGGCCTGGCCTGCACTGCTGCCACTGGAGATGGGGAGAAGTGGTCAGATTCTTAATATTTCAAATATTTATGCTGAGTGAAACAATCAGACAAAGAATGTATACTGTATTATTCCATTTATATCAAATTCTAGAAAATGCAAACCAATCTACAGTGACAGAAGGTTGTCTGAAGACAGCTGGAAGAAGGAAGGGAGGGATTATAAAGGATCATGAGAACTCTTTCAGAGGTGATGAATATGTTAATTAACTTCATTGTGGTAATGGTCTCATGGGTGTAGACATATGTCAAAAATTATCAAATTGTACCCTTTAAACATGTGCAATTTATTGTAGGTTAATTACACTTCAATGAAGCTATTAAAAAAGACATGGGATTGTCTGATGGATTGGACTCGGGTGTGAGAGAAAAGAGGTCAAGGATGATTTGTATGTTTTTGGCTTAAGCACCTGGAAGGTAGGAATTAAATTGTCATTCCTATTCCTATCTCAAATAGGGAAGACTGACAGGAGCAGAGTTTGAGAGAAAAAAATAAAGAGTTTGGTTTTCAACATATTGTTAGAGATGCCTATTAGACACATCTAAGATATTAAAACAAATAAATACACAGTAGAAAAGAAATGAAGAATGAACAGAACTACTACTTGGATGGAGAGTGCTTGTTCATGACCTTACCAAATGTATATTTTCTCAGGACTGCGTTGGAATTACATTGGCCCAATAGGATCTCTCACGGCTCCTACAGACAAAAATTAGTGAGCATCTGTTTACTGTTTTTTCCTTATTCAATATAATGGATTGCACAGACAAGCCACATTCTTTCTTCTTGCTTTTAAATAATATGATTTGTTTGGGAAACCAGCTGCTGGGTTTGTTGTTCAAGGTTGATGAATAACCTTAGAGACTGCAATGAGAAGCTCCTGGTCACAGAAAAATGCCAAGTTCTTCAACCAGGGCTGGAGAGTATTGTAGCCACTCTTCTCTGGGCTGATCTGCTCATGCCATCCCCGCTTTTTTAATTGCACATATAAATAATCCAGTTATAATATGATTTAAATAAGATTTTGTTTTCCTACTCAGAAAGAAAGTACAAAAATTGCTTGTTGCTTGATGGAGGCTTTACAGAGTTGTGATTAAAAAGGAGCATACCACCTGGGTTTGAATCTTAGCTCCACACTCACTAGGTGTTTGAATGCCTTATGGTAGTCATCTCTGAAATGGGGATCATAATAGGACCTACTACTCTAAGGTGATATTGTTGTGAAGATTAAATTAATCTTAATTCATGTGTAGAAAGACCCTAGAATAACAACTGGGCATAAAGTACTCAATAAATGTTAGCTGCTATTAACTAATTTTCCCTACTCTGACATTTATTGTTTAGTTATTTTCATGTCAGTTGGTTTTCACTAAGTCGTGGACTTGTTTAGACAAGGTCCTCTCCCACCACCCTGGGTGCTTTATACAATGTCAGGCATGAAATAAGTACAAAATGGAAGCTCATCACACTGTTATTGAATTAGTTTACTTTTTCCCTATGGATATAGATCTAGGAATCTCAAGATCTCAGCCCAAGGAATATTACCCATTTCTATTAAAGACCAAGCAGGCCACAGGCTCTGATTTACATCCTCAGCCCCCTATTCCATTCACCTCCCGCTTTCGTAAAGAGCATCACGGTATGGTGCCCCCAAGGAAGCCCTGGGAGGCTGAAGGGGAGGGAGCCTGAAACCAGAGACTAATAGTGGCAAATCGCGGGTGGGATTTGGTAGTTCAGAAAAGGAGGTACCATACCAAAAGTGGGGGTAGCGGGGTGAAGTGGAGGGACGCTGGTTCGGGACAGGCCACAAACCAGAAGCTGCAAGAAAGGGCTAGAAGGGACCTGTTGAGATGGCGCAGGGTTGAGGGACCCTAGCGCGCAGGGAGGGGTGAACAACGAATGGAGTCACGCGGAGGTTCTGCGAGGGACTGGGGCAAAGGCAGGTGATTGGACGAGGGAGAACACTTAAGAGTCCTGGTTGCCAAGGCAGCGACCAGAGGAGAAAGCTTCGAGGAGAGGACGAGGCGGCTGCCAGTCCTCCTCCTGGAGGTCTCCCGCATCCCTCCTAGAGCCTCTGCTGACGTGTCAGTCGAAAACTGCTCAGACCTTCCCGGGCGCCGCCCCTCCGCGCTTGTCTTCCCACTCGCCCCCGGCGCTCCGCCCCGTCCCTGCCCTCGTCCCTATCCCGGTCCCCGCCCCCGTCCCGCCCCCGCCCCGTCCCTGCCCCCGTCCCCATCCCCGCCCCCGTCCCCGCCCCCATCCCCGCCCCCGCCCCGGCCTCCTCCTCCGCGTCACCGGCTCCCCGAAGTGACCACAACATGGCTGCGGCGCCTGGGCTGCTCGTCTGGCTGCTCGTGCTCGGGCTGCCCTGGCGGGTACCGGGCCAGCTGGACCCCAGCACTGGCCGGCGCTTCTCGGAGCACAAACTCTGCGCGGACGACGAATGCAGCAGTGAGTGCGCCGGTGGGCGGCCGGCCTCGGGGTCTCCGCAGCGGCGCCGCCTCGGCTCTGCGGGGGCCGGAGTTCCGCAGCCCAGCGGGCCGTCCCGGGGGTCGCAGGCGGGACGGGCGGAACGCGGGGATGGGCGCGCTCCGGGTCGCTGTGTCTGCCTTCTCCCGCTCTGTTAGCGCCCAGCCCTGCGGGCCTGACCATGGGGGGCTGCACCTCCCACTTGTTGCCAGCGTTTTATGCTGGGGCTGGGGGTTGCTTGCGGTGGTCCCCGGCTTCCCCAGGAGTGGCTCACAGCGTCCCCTTCCCACCCCCCGCCATCCGCCCGGGCTGGGAGGGTAGATAATGTTGCGCGCCACGCGTCTGGGCTCCCCACGCCGCAGCCAAAGCTTTCCTGCCCGCGCTGCGGGGACCTCGGTGGGTGCAATACCCGGGCAGATGCGCTAAGGGCTCAGATGCCGGTGGGCGTTTTCCCACTGGCAGGTTGATGGTGGGGTTTTTCAGGAAAGGCTCTCTGGCGCTGCTCCTTTGCCCTTCTACTTTATTGGGATTTGGGCTTGTACCGCCTTTTGAACAGAAATTGGGAGTTTAGGTTTGGGACGAGTCCGGAGTCCAAGCACTCATTTTATTCCGAGGTCTCTGCCCCGACTTTGATCAATCCTGTCGTTTCTGTGCTTGGAAGCCTCCTTGCAGACTGCCAGGCAGGGCTGCAGGAAGACCAAAATCTTTCGCTCTGCGAAGAGACCGAGGATCTGCACCGGCCACCTGGGACCGGCAGCCTCCTCTTCTGTGCGCAGGAAGCGGAATTGCTCTCCAGTCTGGGATTGGAGGTGGGCGGTGGAGAGGGCACAGATCTTCAGGCTCGGATGAAGAGGGTTATTACAGGAATGACAGTAAATACTCCAAGGGTCTCATAAGCCAAGCTTGGTTTAGCCTTAGCCACTTGTGTGTTGAAACCTCTTCCCTTTGTGTTCGCCGGACCAGGATCATTTTAGGGCCTCCCAGGCAGGCTCAACCTTGTAACTTACTGATAGCCGCTGCAGAAACGGTTTTTCATACATTGTTAAGCAATGCCTATAGAAAAGTATTCATTTTAACAAGGCCAAGAACCCTACGGTTTAGCTATTTATATTCAAATTGATGTTATGAAAACCAAATTTCATAATATGAACTGTTTATATCTCTACAACACTAATCAAGAAAAGTGGTCTCTAATGAGTGTGAAGCCATTTCTAGAGATAACCCTATGGTTGATGTAAATAAACACTACAAAAGCAGTACAACTGCCATGATTTTTCCCTTTAGTTTTCTTGGGTCAAAACCACACTGTTACCCATTTGCCGCTGGCAATGGCAAGATAGTTGGTATTCTTTGCTTGCAAGCGTTGCCCTGCCTGGGTCCCTCAAAACAGGTACCTGGAGAATCATCACATCACTGGTGCTTCTTCAGTACTAAGGCGTGATGTTAGAAGAGCTCACGGTTGTAACATAACTTGAGAAATGGTATGTGTTCAAACAGAGTAAACCAAATACAATAGGCATCAACAGGAGCAAGATCTAGATGCGTGTGTGTTGTGTTGTATAAAGTGTTTAGTAATGTGAGTCTGTATGGTGCCCTTGTGTGCTTTTCAAATAGCTGTTCCACAAGGTGCAGTTTTTTGGCCTCTGATATATTATTATAAATCCTCTATGATCTATTATGAGGGGGAGCAAGAAAAACATTGCCATTTTCAATTCTGGTCTTATTCTCAACCTTAAATTGTCCATCACCTTAAACCTGGCCTCACACTCAATTATCTGAGCTACAAAGCTGACATGTTGGAAAATAATCAGAGTTTAGCTTCAAAAAACAAGTAACCCCTTCCAAATCTATATGCATGTACAGCCATTTAAAGGCAGGTTTTTAATGTATTTTATAGCAAATTGGCTTTTGGAAAAAATCTTATTTCCATTCATCCTTCTTTGTCTCTGCTATTTCAGCGTATTTATTGTCCATTTCGTCTTACATGGGAAACTGTGGTCAACAAAAATAAAAGTACTGCTTCTACCAGTTTCTAGATCAAGTGTGATTGAATTACTGACCTATTCTCATAGTTTTGCTTAGTCCCAGCCAAATGGGATGTTGACTTTTGATTTTGTTTATAGAAAAATATACATAAGGGTATTTTTTCCTTTGTTTTGAAACTTAATGTTGGATACAGTCAACATTATTTACTTTCAGAAAAGATTCCCTTGTGATGTAATTGAATCTACAGTAGGGTGTGATAGATATCCTTTCCCATCAATTTATCCAGACACTGTACTGAGGGAACAACTTGGCTGCAAATGAAATTGACAGTGTTTACTGCTACATAGTAGCGGTTATAGCCACTTGAAGATAGAGACTTTTAGTGGTTAGTTCAAGTTAATTGACCTCTTGGGGGTTCCTGGGTACTCTAGCTCCCTATTACCCTTCATGTAGTCATGCTTAAGCTAGTCATCATCTGGGCTTGAATTTACCCATTTGCAAAAGGAAGCTTTTTATGAATATGAAACAGAAAAGATTGAGGACTAGAAGGTTAGAGAGGGAATCGAGAGTTTCACTTGGGTGAGAAAAGCCATGTGTGGCAGTTGACACATTGCTTTTTGTTTCTCAATATTATCCATAGAGAAAAATAGAGAAGGTTTTCCTTTCCCCTGTCTGCTTGTAGAAGATATGATTTATAGCAGTAAAGCTCTAAGGATTTGAGATACTTTCTTTGAGCACATGAAAGAAATTCCAGAGAGTACTGGAAAAACTTGGTTGTTGTTTATAGTGGGATTCTTATATTTCCTGATAAATCAATATGCACTGTGAACACTGAATCCTGATATCTGGCTATTTTTTTTTCTCTCTCTCTCTCTTTATATACAGTGTTAATGTACCGCGGTGAGGCTCTAGAAGATTTCACAGGCCCGGATTGTCGTTTTGTGAATTTTAAAAAAGGTGATCCTGTATATGTTTACTATAAACTGGCAAGGGCATGGCCTGAAGTTTGGGCTGGAAGTGTAAGTAAAATTTTGACATACTTTATTTGCCTAATTTTTACTGGCTTCTTTAGCACTGTAGATTTAAATGACTGCATTTTCTTGGGACGCTTGATGGAGTTAACCTGTCCTCTCTGCCTGACTGTGAAAAAAGATGGCCCTGTGTACCCAGCAGACCTTGGGTCTGCACAGAGTAGGGGCTCAGCAGAGTCTTCTGAAATAGAACTGATTCTGGCAAGTTCCCCTCAGTGTCAACCTCTAGGATACTCCATACATATTAGGGGTTGAAATGGTAAGAGCTGAAAAATTCTTTACTTCATTGCTTCAAAAAGGAAAGATTCATAGGAATTAGGAATTAGACTTACTATGTAAACTATGTTTGAGAGAGTGTTTCAGGCATGTAAGTTTAAAGTTGATTTTATGTATATTTCTTTGTTTATATTTTTATTTATGAAAAAGTGGCAGTCTTGGGAACAGTTCCCTAATCATCTGTGCTATTATAAGTCTGTAAAAAAGCAAAATGTTGTGTTTCCCATGTGCTTTCTTGTTTGTTTTTTGTTTGCAGCTTTGGGTTCATCCTTGTCCTGCTTTTCAGACACTTGTGTCTGGAGGTTACCCCAGGGGCTCTGTTCCCAGCTGATTTTATGGGTGCCCTGATACCAGACATGGCAATCAATGCTTTAGTGTTTTTAACGAGGATATTCACTGGGAGTGACCTAATTGAGAGGCCTGTCTTATGAGTTATTGTCCTTTCCTTTTTAGAAAGAGTGATGTGTGGACTGTGTTTTTACTTTAAGTAGTAAGGGTCCTCGATATCTTTAGGATTATCCCCACTTAGAGAAATACCCACCCCAACTATGAAAGTTTTCACTCTCAATAAAACAACAAACAAACAAAGAGAAAATAAGAAATCCCCTTGGGAAAAATAGACTGATTTTGTTGGCATTCCAGGTTCCTCAGGAGTAATCTTGGGAAACAACCACTGGTCAGGTTCAGCTCTCCTATTTAGAGAGCATCCCAAGTGGCTCCCTCCGTACGAAGACAAATCTATTCTGTTTCTTTCAAGTCTACCTAATGAGATTTGTTGATATTCTTTACTCTTGGAAATGTTTTTCCATGTATCTAGGCTGTGGTTTTCATAGAACAGTTAAGTTTTTTTTTTTTCTCTCCTCATCTATGAGCATTTGGATGAATGAACTTGACTTAACATTTTCCTCCCACTGCAGTTTTGCTCATTCACGTATTCACCTCTGGATGTCCTGTCAGTCTTTCTGGGTCGCACCTCTCATCCTGCCTTCTTAAGGAACGCTGCCTTCGGCACCCAGCCAGAAGGGATCTTTGCTGCCTGGTGATTGTTTAGGTGGCACTTTGTTTGCACTGTTCATGTGGCATTTGCTTTACTGCTTTGTATGGCAGTCAATGTGTATACTGTCTTAGCTCACATAAAGTCGAAGACTCTTTAATGGAAAGGCTCATGCCTTATCTGTCTTCCTTTTCAGTATTTCCTTACAGGGCATTGGCATTTATTTGTATTTGTCCTGATATTATCTTATGCAGAATTTGTTCTCTTAAGGTAATACTCTACTTTCCCCCCCACCCCCTGCCCAAAAGAAATCAACAGTACCTTGGCAGAAATGATGTGTGAAAGCAAAATTAGACATAAAGATTGCTTCTGGTCATGTGGACCTATGATTTTTTTTTTTTTTTTTTTTTGTCAAATCATAAGAAATGAGATGCCACCTGTGGTCCCAATTGACAAAGATTAAGGAAGGTAAATGTATAGTATTTCCCTTTCTCTATATACCTCTGCCTCTGATTTGTTTCCTTTTTCCAGGTTCTCCCTTAATAAAATAGTCTTCCCTCTAATTTGATGAACCTTATTCTTAGGAATTTAAAAACTCTGTCTTCAGCTTTCAAAATGATTCTCATTTCTGTTTCTTAGTTTTCATTCTGCAGTCTTTTTTGGTTTCTTAGCATTTTAGACTTGATCTGCCAATAACACAGAGTTTAATTGCCCTTATCTAATCTCCATGGCAGTATTTTACTACTACTACTGGCTTTCAGATAGTTTTCAGATAGAACGAGAGCACTCATGAATGGAGATGTTTTGTGAATTAGTGACATAATGGTCTTTTTTTCTTTTCATGCATTTGATTTACATGCCACCTCCTCCTTTAATGATTGGAAGATATACCTCTTCCTTTCAGACAGTAGCTAGTAAAAGACTGTATGTTTCTCAAGAGGGCACATTTTACTAGTGCTGAAAATGAATGGAATTATTTTCTATAGAGATTTTGGTTTGCATGAAACAAAAGCTTGGTGTGCAGATTAGTGTGTATTACATTGTAATTTTGTTTTGTCTCCAGTTACCTGTAATATCCTTTTGGAAAATGGCAGTATAACACATCATATCCGCAAATACAGTTGATCCTTGGGCAACACAGGTTTCAACTCTGTGGGTCCACTTATAATGCAGATTTCTTTCAATAAATATATTGTAAAATTTTGTGGAGGTTTGCAATAATTCGTTAACTCTCAGACTGCATAGCATAGAAATTACTAAAAAAATTAAGAAAAAGTTAGATATGTTATTAGTATGTAAGCTACATGTAGATCATAGTGTATTTTATTCTTTACTGCCATAAGACATACACAAATCTGTATAAAAAGTTACAATTTATCGAAACATACACACACAAACGCAGATCTTAATGGCGCCTTTCGCAGTCGAGTGAAATGTAAGCATGTAAAGATAAAATATTAAATTGTAATTGCATAAATTAATTGTACTACATACTGTACTATATATTGCATAGCCACCTCCTTTTGCTGTTCTAGTGAGCTTAAGTATTATGAGTATCCACTTAAAATGCCATGTAACGCTGTCATTTCCACGTGATTTCCACGTCATTTCCATGTCATTTCCACGTGAGCAGTTCATCTCTCCAGTCAATTGTATAGTGCATAAAAAGTGATCTCTTGTGGTTTTCATGTATTTTTTGTGTTTAGTGCAATACTATAAACCTTGAATAACACTCTGGGACCCATACAAGGTGTCACTAGTGATGTTGGAAGTGCTGTCAAGTAGCAGAGAAGAGTAATGACATTACAAGAAAAAGTTGATTGCTTGATATGTGCTGTAGATTGAGGTTTGCAGCTGTGGTTGCAAGATTAACAAATCTAGCTTTTATAAAAAAAGAAAAGGAAATCCATGAAGCTGTTATTGCAGCTATGCCAGCAGTTATGAAAATCTTACACTTTTTGCAAAATACCATTTTATGTACTATTAAAAATACAGCTTTTATGTGGGTACAGGCTTGCTGTTAGAAAGACATTCCTATAGACTCTAATGTGAATCAAGACAAAGCAAAGTCATTATATAACAACTCAAAGTAAAAGAAAAGTAAAGGGTCTAACACTGAAGAATTTAATGCCAGCAAAGGATAGTTTGATAATTTGAGAAAGAGGTTTGGCTTAAAGAAAGTCAAGACAACAGCAGAAGCAGCTTCTGCCAACCAAGAGGGAGCAGAAGAGTTTCTAGGTGCCATTAAGAAAATCATTTAGGAGAGAGGCTATCTGCCTGAACAGGTTTTTAATGTTGACAGAAGTGCCCTATTCTGGGGGGGAAAAGTGCCACAAAGGACATTTGTAAATAAGAAAAACAAATGTGCACCAGGATTTGAGACAAGAAGGGATAAGCCAACTCCATTGCTTTGTGCAAATGCAGTTGGGTTTATGATGAGGACTGCCTTCTGCTTTTATCTGTCTTGAAGGGAAAGTTGAATACCAACTGCCAGTCTTTTGGATGTACAGTAAGAAGGTCTGGATAATGAGAACCCTTTTTCTGGATTGGTTCCATCAATGCTTTGTCCCTGAAGTTAGGAAGTACCCTGCCAATAAGGAACTGCTTTTTAAAGTTCTTTTCATATTGGACAAATGCCCCTGGCCACCCACAACCTTGTGAGTTCAACACCAAAGGAGTTGAAATGGTCTACTTGCCCTAAACACAGCATCTCTAGTTCAGCCTCTAGATTAGAGGGTCATGAGGAACTTTAAGTCTCATTACATACATACTTTATGGAAAGGATCACCAACGCCTTGGAAGAGAATGCCAATAGAGAGGACATCATGAAGTTCTGGTAGGATTATATCATTGAAGATGCCATCATCATTATAGAAAAGGCCATAAAAGCTGTCAAGCCCTAAAACTGTATCCAGACGTTGTGCTTGATTTCACAGGATTATGATAGAGCCAGTCAAGAAAGTATGAAACAGATTGTAGATATGGCTAAAAAGGTGAGGGTGAAGGGTTTCAAGATATGGATCTTGAGGAAATTCAAGAGCTAATAGACACCACACCAGAGGAATTAACAGGAGACAACTTGATGGAAATAGGTGCTTCCAAACCAGTGCCAGAAAATGAGGAAGAAGACATAAAGACCACAAAACAAGTCAACACCAGACAATCTGATAGAAGGGTTTTAGTTGTTAAAGACAGCTGTTAACTTCTTTTATAACATGGACCATTCTCTGATAGGGGTACTGAAAATAAAGCAAACAGTAGAAGAAGGGTTGGTACCATATAGAAACATTTTTAGAGAAATGAAGAAGCAAAATAATCCAGACAGAAATTACATTGTGTTTCCACAAAGGTACATCAAGTGTGCCTGTGTCTCCTGCCTCCTCTTCTACCTCCTCTGCCTCTACCACTGCTGAGACAGCAAGACCAACCCCTCCCCTTCTTCCTCTGCCTCAGCCTACCCAATATGAAGATGATGAGGATGAAGACCTTTATGATTATCCACTTCTACTTAATGATGAATAGTAAATATATTTTCTCTTCCTTTTGATTTTCTTAATAACATTTATTTTCTTTTCTTTTTACTTTCTTTTTTTGAGACAGGGTCTCACTTTATCACCCAGGCTCAAGTGCAGTGGCGCCATCATGGGTCACTGTAGCCTCAACCTCCTGGGCTCAAGTCATCCTCCCACCTCAGCCTCCCTAGTAGCTGGGACTACAGGTGCATGCCACCGTGCTCTGCTAATTTTTTAAAAGAAATTTTTGTAGAGACGAGGTCTCACTATGTCACCAGGCTGGTCTCCAACTCCTGAACTCAAGCGATCCACCTGCCTCTGCCCAATGTGATTACAGGCATGATCCACCATGCCTGGTCTTAATAACATTTTCTTTTCTCTAGCTTACTCTATTGTAAGAAGAGAACATATACATATAACATATAAAATATGTGTTAATTGACTGTTTATGTTATTGGTAAGGCTTCTGGTCAATAGTAGGCTATTAGTAGTTCAGTTTTTATGGAGTCAAAAAAAGTTCTATGCAGATTTTTTGACTGTGCCCCTAACACCTGTGTTGTTTAAGGTCAGCTGTATTTGCCTTTTGTTGTAGTGGTCATATATTTCAGAAACTCTGCATTCTTTTTACTTATTACATGGCTGTTGTTTATTGTTTAAGAAAGACTTATAAGTTCTGGGTTGTGAGCAATACTATGAAATGGGTAGGTACATTTTTGCTAGAGGTTATTTGGAATTGTGTTTATAACCAGCTTCACTATGCATAGTTTTAATAATATAAAAATATACAATAATATTCCCTTACATAGCTCTTTTATCTACTTCTAAACACTAACTTTACATGTACTATGTTTAGAATTAAGCCGAATATAATAAGAAAACTTCCAGAGTTTTAGAAATGTTCGCTTAACAGTTTTCTGTACTTAAATTATCAGAGTAGTAATAATCTCAGTGTAATTATAACAGCAACTACCTACCTCTCTTAGTTATATCTACTTACCTATATATTTGTATATTTTCTACACTACTAAGAAGTCTCTCATTTATATTTCTCACACAGAATTTGATTGATATTTGTCCCTTTTGCCCATTCTTTTGTATAGGTTGGGCGTATTTTTGGATATTTTCCAAAAGATTTAATCCAGGTAGTCCATGAATATACCAAAGAAGAGCTACGAGTTCCAGCAGATGTAAGTTGTGGATTTCTGTCTTGCCCTCCGTTGTAAGTTGGCTTATAAGTGACTACCTAGAAAAGAAGAAAAATTTCAAAATAATTTCAATGAGATTTTATCATAATCTGATAGTTATCTAATATATTGAAATAAATGTTGTTTAGATATTCTTATATAAGGCTGTGTACTCTTTTTTTGTTTGTTTGTTTGAGTTGGAGTCTCGCTCTGTCGCCCAGGCTGGAATGCAGTGGTGCAATCTCAGCTCACTGCAGGCTCCGCCTCCTGGGTTCACGCCTTTCTCCTGCCTCTGCCTCCCATCTAGCTGGGACTGCAGGCGCCTGCCACCACACCCAGCTAATTTTTTGTATTTTTAGTAGAGATGGGGTTTCATTGTTAGCCAGGATGGTCTTGATCTCCTGACCTCATGATCCGCCCACCTCAGCCTCCCAAAGTGTGCTGGGATTACAGGCATGAGCCACCACTCCTGGCCAAGGCTGTGTACTCTTATAAAAGGCTTCTCTTTCCTGCTTCATATGTGAAAAATTAAGAGTTCTGTAGTTTTGTATTTACTTATTAATGTTAGACGGCAAATAATTTCATTTCACAAGCAAAAGGAGAAATTTGAAAACTACTTATTGGATAGCTGTTAGACATTTTAAGGATACAGAAATCAGGTTAAATTAATTAAGCTCTAATTTTTATACTGAGCCAGAAATGCAAACTTACAAAGGTTTTCTTATTATTGACTCCTTAGTGATTTAAGGGATTATAGTTATAGATTTAGAAAAGGGAACCAGAGAGTTTCAGGTAAGGTCCAGTCTCGTATCTGTAAGGCACTAACTACACATTCTAAGAGCATTTATCTATAGCGCACAATGGCTTTATGACTAAAAGGATTTAAATATATTTAATATTTAAATATTTAAAAAATTGGCTCGGAAGTGTGCATGATGGAATGGGGGAAATCATTCATCTCTGGTATACTGGACAGGTCTCCCCAGAAGATTGTGAATGTTTAGTTAGGGGAAGAAAAGTATCTTTGTTGTTTTTTTAACTTTTCCATCATTTTATGGCTCCTTGTGTGTCAATTTGCTTACTGGTGGAGGAAAGGAAAAATATAGATTTACTCAATATTCCTGAAAGCAGATCTTAGTGACTGCCTAGAATGCTTATTTGGAGTCAGGTACCTACCTTAGCGAACCTTGTTTTCAAGTTGTTCTTGTGGCAGTAGTAAAATGGGAAGCCTCCTTTACACCATTCTTTGTTCTCTTACATTTTTATATCTCATGCATCTGTATCTCAGTAAGTTCCTTCTGAAGCTGGTTTATCTTTCCCAGTCCAAGGAAAATATGAGTCCCAAATCCATGTAGACTGAGAACCTGACAGCCAGGTGATTCTGCCTGTTTCTGACTGGGGGAGCAGAAGTATGACATAGAGGGCACAATGTAGAGAAGCTGATGGTCTTTCAGCTCCTTCTGGATGCGTTATTATGAAGTGAATTCCCAGAACACCAGGCATAGATGTTGGGAGTTGGGGAACCCAATAAATGACACCTCACTTTTCCCCACCTGTGCTCAAAACAAATTGAGAGACCCAGAAATTGGGCAAATAGGAGATCAAAATGACCCCGTTACTTACTGATAAAGCTGTTTGGAATGTGCAGAACTAATGGGCTTTCTAACATGGCAGTCTAAACTAAGATGGACTTATCCAGTCACAGACAGAGCTACCCAACTAGGGGTCTCCCCAGGCGGGACCGTCTCTGTCAAATGGACAGCATGGAGGAGCAGAATATGTGTTTTCTCTCCAGCAGGTCCCAAACAGAAAACAGGAATGGGACTGAGCAAACTCACCAGCCACATGAATCATTCTTCCCCTGGGGAAGAGAGAATGAAGGGAAGCCAGGAGTATTACTCAGATGGGAAAGTGGGTTCCAGTGTCCTATCCACCCACTGCCCAAGAACAGTCAGTGCCCAGTGTTGATGCAAAAGCTCCTCTAGAGCCAAACGTGAATTTGAGATTATCTCAATCATTAACATGGATAAGAGTTTGCTCTGGTGACACTTGGCTGTTGACACACTAATGTTTTTCTTTTTCTTGCAGGAGACGGATTTTGTTTGTTTTGATGGAGGAAGAGATGATTTTGATAATTATAATGTAGAAGAACTTTTAGGGTTTTTGGAACTGTACAATTCTGCAGCTGGAGATTCCGAGAAAGCTGTAGAAAAAACTTCACAGGATATGGAAAAAAACTCTGAATTATCTATGGAAAGGGAACCTGAACCTGACCCAGTAGAAGCCAACTCAGAGGAAAGCGATAGTGTATTCTCAGAAAACACTGAGGATCTTCAGGAACAGTTTACAACTCAGAAGCACCACTCCCACGCAAACAGCCAAGCAGATCATGCTCAGGGAGAGCAGCCTTCATTTGAATCTTTTGAAGAAATGCTGCAAGATAAACTAAAAGTGCCAGAAAGTGAAAACAACAAAACCAGCAATAGTTCTCAGGTCTCAAATGAACAGGATAAGATTGATGCCTATAAACTTTTGAAAAAAGAAATGACTCTAGACTTGAAAACCAAATTTGGCTCAACAGCTGATGCACTTGTATCTGATGATGAGACAACCAGACTTGTTACTTCATTAGAAGATGATTTTGATGAGGAATTGGATGCTGAGTATTATGCAGTTGGAAAGGAACATGAGGAGAACCAAGAAGACTTTGATGAGTTGCCATTACTTACCTTTACAGATGGGGAAGATGTGAAAACTCCAGCAAAGTCTGGAGTTGAGAAATATCCAACAGATAAAGAGCAGAATTCAAATGAAGAGGATAAGATTGAGCTAACTGTGCCCCCTGGCATCAAAAATGATGATAAAAATATACTAACAACCTGGGGGGACACTATCTTCTCTATTGTCACAGGAGGTGAAGAAAATAGAGGTACGATGGATTTAGAGAGCTCTAGTTCAGAGGAAGAAAAAGATGATGATGATGCATTAGTCCCAGAGAGCAGACTGGGGAAACCACAGTCAGCAACAGATTATAGTGACCCTGACAATGTAGATGATGGTCTTTTGATTGTAGATGTTCCTAAAACAAATAATGACAAAGACCCGGAAGTAAACACAGACCATCACATTAAAGGAAAAGGGAGGGGAGTTCAGGAATCCAAGAGGGGCCTGGTACAAGATGAGACAGAATTAGAGGATGAAAAGCAAGAAGGCATGACTGTGCACAGTTCTGCTCACAGCAATAACCTCAACTCTATGCCAGCTGCTGAAAAGGGTAAAGACTCATTAAAATCAGCTTATGATGATAAAGCAAATGACCTAAAAGGAGCAGCTATTCATATCTCAAAAGGAATGCTCCGTGAAGAAAAGCCTGGAGAGCAGATTTTGGAAGGTGGCTCAGAGAGTGAATCTGCACAGAAAGCTGCAGGGAATCAAATGAATGACAAAAAGATTCAACAGGAATCCTTGCGTAATGCACCACTCATGGGAGATAACCACCCTAACGCATCCAGAGACAGTGTGGAGGGAGACGCTTTGGTTAATGGGGCCAAACCTCACACGCTTTCACTGGAGCATCAACGTGAGGAATTGAAAGAGGAATTAGTTCTTAAAACTCAAAATCAACCTAGATTCTCCTCTCCAGATGAGATTGATTTGCCCAGAGAACTGAAAGATGAGGTTCCCATTCTGGGAGGAAATCTTTCCTGGCAACAAGAAAGAGATGTGGCTGCCACAGTCAATAAGCAAATGAGTGAGAAGATAAGGCTGTCTGAGGGAGAAGCCGAAGAGGACTCCTTGGATGAAGAGTTTTTTCATCACAAGGCAATGCAGGGCACACAGAGAGTAGGACAGACAGACCAAACTGACAGCACAGGAGGACCAGCTTTCCTTTCTGAAGCAGAAGAGGACGATTATCCCTCTGAAGAACTACTAGAGGATGAAAACGCTGTAAGTGCAAAACGGTCTAAAGAAGAAAACCCTGGGAATCAGGGCAGGCAGTTTGATGTTAATCTGCAAGTCCCTGACAGAGCGGTTTTAGGGACCATTCATCCAGATCCAGAAATTGAAGAAAGCAAGCAAGAAACTAGCATGATTTTAGATAGTGACAAAAGTGACACTGCTGCCAAAGGGGTCAACACAGGAGGCAGGGAACCAAATACAGTGGTGGGAAAAGAACGCCCTCTGGCAGATGAGAAAGCACAGAGGCAATCTGAAGGAAGTGACTTTTCTGACAGCATAAAAACTCAGACTCCAGAATTAGGTGAAATGTTTCAGAATAAAGATTCTGATTATCTGAAGAACAACAACCCTGAGGAACATCTGAAGACCTCAGGGCTTGCAGGGAAGCTTGAGGGAGAACTCTCAAAAGAGGACCATGAGAACACAGAGAAATACGTGGGCACAGAAAGCCAGGGTTCTGCTGCTACACACCCTGAAGATGACTTGTTCCTCTGGACTCCACATACAAGTGTAGAGCCAGAGTATAGTTACAAGAGGGAGGACTTGCTTATCATAAGCAGCTTCTTTAAAGAGCAACAGTCTTTGCAGCGGTTCAAGAGGTACCTTAATGCCTATGAGATGGAAGCCTTGCTACAAGAAATGTCATCAAAACTGAAGTCAGCACAGCAGGAGAGCCTGCCCTATAATATGGAAAAAGTCCTAGATAAGGTCTTCCGTGCTTCTGAGTCACAAATTCTGAGCATAGCAGAAAAAATGCTTGATGCTTATGTGGACGAACATAGAGATATGGGAATGCAGGTCATATTTGAAGAGGCTGCAGTGCTTGATGACATTCAAGACCTCATCTATTTTGTCAGGTACAAGCACTCCACAGCAGAGGAGACAGCCACACTGGTGATGGCACCACCTGTAGAGGAAGGCTTGGGTGGAGCAATGGAAGGTGAGGTGCCTATGGTCTTGCAGAATTGGGCTGGAGAACCAGGCGGGTGGGTCGCTGAGGTGCCTCCTATCTTGTGAAGCTCTGTTCAGTTTCCAATGTGCCTAAAGGAGAGGGACAACACAGGGAGGTCCGCATGTTCCTTCCTGCCTTCTTTCTTTTAGGCTGGAGCATAGAGAAGGATTTCTTGCTGTTTCCCTTAGAATAGTTGAGACTGGTTAGCATTTTCAAAAGGAAACTTTGTAAAAACCTAAAGAGAGAGATATAAACCAGAAAATAATGTACAAAATACAAATGTCATGTAAAATTATGAAAGGGTTTTATTGAACACAATTTTTCAATTGTAAAATAACTGCTCTCTAACCATGGATTGACTGGTATAACTTTTAGATCAATGTCTTGGCTAAATTCCTATGTTCTCCCCAATTTTGTCTTTTGTGGATGGCTTGTCCTTCCTGTTTCTTGGGAGCGCTTACTCCAGTTAAACCTTCCGGGGCCATAAAGGTCTTGCATTCAGATTAATCAAGGTTGGGACAGGGATGCCTTCTAATGCAGTGCTTGATGCGTGGAAGCCATTCAGTTGAATTAACCCTGAGCCAATATCCTGACATAAGCATTCTGATTCCTAGTTCCTTGTTCTGTTCTCTGCATCTGAGCTTTTCTCTTTCTTTTCTTTTCCTTTACCTACCCTTCCTTCCTTCCTTCCTTCCTTCCTTCCTTCCTTCCTCTTTCTTTTTTTTTTTTTTCTTTTTTTCTTAAGACAGGATCTCACCCTGTCACCCAGGCTGGAGTGCAATGGCATGATCATAGCTTATTGCAGCCTCCAACTCCTAGGCCCAAGCAAACCTCTCATTTCAGCCTGTAGTAGGCATGCATCACTGTGCCCAACTAATTTTTTATTTATTGTAGAGACAGGGTCTTGATATATTACCCAGGCCAATCTTGAACTCTTGGCCTCGATTGACCCTCCTACTTTGGCCTCCCAAAGTACTGGGATTACAGGTGTGAGCTACCGCACCTGGTGTATCCCAGCTTTTCAGACAGATGTATCTGAATTGAGAGTATCAAGGGGACAGGAAGCCACAGGAAAATGTACTACTCCAGAGTGCTAATTTTTCCTGAGAGTTGGGGGAGGAGAACTTTTTTGCATTTAATTAAAACATGTATTTTGGATAAGAAGGCAATATTCAGATGAATTTTCAGGGTAAAATATCAGGCTACAAGGAAATTCACCTTTGCTGTGGATCACATTGGACTGTCCCCTGAGCCTCTTAGGAAAGGAGATGGCTTCACTTTCTTTGACTCTTAGAGGTACTTTGAAAGTATTCGAAGGACATTTCAGCAAGCTGCCCTGGCATGGAATGTCCCTGTCTGTACTAGTTCTGTGAGAAAGGCATGCTTGTGTATGCAAGAGTTCATGTTCCTTCTCTGCAGAATAGATGTTTCACATTTCTGCTCTTGAGTAGAATTCTCTTTTGCAAATTTATTTGTGTGGGCATAGGTTGATTTGCCAAGGAAAGATGTTACTGAAGTCCCTACCATAAATATATTTATGAAATACTCCTCTGTAGATTTTATGTAGATTAGTCATCCTTTAAATGGAATAAAGTGAAACTCTTATTTCCCTGCCCAGTTATGCTCCATGGGATGCCCATGCATGGAGGGCAATGTTGAGGTGCCCTGGAGCTGGTATGGTCAGTGGGATTACCCTAACAGGTAATGTCATCAAGTTGTGCTAACCCAGTGTGTTCTTCTCACCTATAGAGATGCAACCACTGCATGAAGATAATTTCTCACAAGAGAACACAGCAGAACTTAACGTGCAGGTTTCTGAAGAGCCCACCCATTTGGGCCAGCATGTGATTGGGGACACTCATGCCTCGGAAGTTTCAACGAAGCCAAATGCTGAGAAAGACTTGGACCAGCATGTGATCCGGGATACTCATGCCTCGGAAGTGTCACCGAAGCCAAATGCTGAGAAAGACTTGGACCAGCATGTGATCCGGGACACTCATGCCTCAGAAGTGTCACCGAAGCCAAATGCTGAGAAAGACTTGGACTGGCGTGTGATCCGGGACACTCATGCCTCGGAAGTGTCACCAAAGCCAAATACTGAGAAAGACTTGGACCCAGGTAAAGCTTGCTAATTTTTTTCTACAAAGTGGAGACATCATAAAGAAGGCCTTCTAGGAGATTCATTGTCAAAGGTAGGAGCTAGAGACTTGTTAAACTCAAATGAAAAAAGGATCCCAGAGCTAATTGAGAGAAAAGCAGGCGTCAAGACAGATGGAGATCAAAAATAGGAAAGACACCAGAGGCTGTAACTAACCTACAAACCAGTGTTTGGCTGTCACTATCTTGTGTAAATTATTTCAATCTAAAATATTATTCTTAAAAGGCCTTATGCTCTAAAACAGTAGTTTTCAACCAGACCAGCAGCATCAGAAACTCTGGGGGTGGGACCAGCAGTCTGTGTTTAACAAGCCTTCCAGGAAAGACTGACCTGATGCAAATTACGGTTGGAGAACCACTGCTCTAAAACTCACAAATTCAGTTTTTCCTCTGCTTTACCCCTCTCTTTCCAAATACAGTGCAATGCAGTTCTTTTTTTGATTTGCTATCTGGACTTGGTAAATAAAACTTCTTAAAATACAGTGAAGGGGTCCAAGTATGTTTATAGCATAAGCTCATAGGAGACAGTACAGAACACTGTAGTGTGTAATAGTCCAGGATAGACTGACTGACACAAAGAGTATTTCACCACAGTGCACAGTAAACATCCAGTGAGAGATGAGAATGTTTACTTTCCAGGCACAGTACCTAATATTTAGTGGATATTCAGTCAGTATTTTTTTAAAAGAGAAACCATTCTTATTCTAAAGCACAAAATATCTATTTTCCTCCCAATTCCAGGGCCAATTACAGGAGAAGACACTCCTATGGATGCTATTGATGCAAACAAGCAACTAGAGACAGCTGCCGAAGAGCCAGCAAGTGTCACAGCTTTGGAAAATGCAATCCTTCTAATGTATTCATTCATATTTTATTTAACTAAGTTGGTAAGTTTGACACATAGTTTTTTTTTTTAACTAAAATGTTGATTATTACAGTTTTTAAGTTGATTTTGAGCATGAGGTGAAGAACTTAAGTTGTCTTTATGAACATGACTCTTGATCCTTTGAGGAGAGATCTTGAAATGAGCCACAGGTGTGTGGCTTTAATGCGCTCTTAGTTCAGCACATGCGGAGGCTTTGCTGTATGCTGGAGCTGGGCACAGGCACACCTGTCAAACATGGTTCTTCCTTTCAGGAACCTTTCAATTTAGCCAGGAGAGAAGGACATTCACTTGAAATGTAATATGATAATGGGCAGGAAGAGAAGTATTTACCTGATGGTAGAACAATCGATGGCATAAATTGGTTCATTGTGGAGGGAGAGTGGTAGGAAAGGCCAGAAGTTTGCTGAGACATGCTTTAAGCAGAGTTGAAAGATAGATGGGAGCTTGACTTGGAGTTGTCAAATAGAAGGGCTAGGGGAGGGAGATGGGTGGGGGTGGGGCGGGCAGCATGCAGTCAGGCAGAAAACACATTCAGAGAAATGGAGGCATGAAGAAAAGGTTATTTGGGGAAGTCAGGGAAGCATGGGTAGTTGGTGTTTTCTTTTGTTGTTGTTTTTTTTTTTAAATTAAGACAGGGTCTTGCTCTGTAGCCCAGGAAAGAGTGCATTGGCGTAATCTCAGTTCACTGCAGCCTCTGCCTCCTGGGCTCAGTGATCCTCCTGCCTCAGCCCCATGAGTAGCTGGGATCACAAGTGCGCACAACCATGCCTGGCTATTTTTTGTAGAGGTGGGGTTTTGCCATGTTGCCCAGGCTGGTCTCGAACTCCTGAGCCCATGGGAGCCCACCTTGGCCTCCCAAAGTGCTGGGATTACAGGCAAGAGCCACTATTCCCCGCCAGTTGGTGGTGTTAAAGCGTGGAGTTAAGATTAGCTGGGCAGGGTGGGGCACACCTGTGATCCCAACTACTTGGGAGGCTGAGGCAGGAGAATCACTTGAGCCCGGGAGGCAGAGGTTGCAGTTAGCTGAGATCGTGCCACTGCCCTCCAGCCTGGGCAACGGAGCAAGACCCTGTCTCAGAAAAAATAAAAATAAAAAAGTATGGAGTTAAGAGGGGGAAAATCTGTTGGAGGGACGCAGGGAAAGTCAGAAAGGAAATAAGGAAATTGTGTGCCATGGTGAGTGGTCAGACCATTGTTGGCAGAGATCCTTGGAAGATTTTAAGCAGGAAAGGGATTGTCAGGTCTGCTTCTTAGCAAGAGTCACTTACGGCAGAATATTTATTCAGATCTTTCTAAAGGGAGCCATGCTCCAAATGAGACATTTAATGTCTAGAAGCTTATCTAGGCTTTTTAGGACTTAGCTCCCCCTTGTGGTACTTGGTAGAATTTGACATTTTTTTCTTGTTAAATTAGAGGAACAAGCAAGCTCTCGAAGTTGGAGCTCAGGTTGCCCTTAGGGCTACAGAGAAAGTATGCTCCTCACCAAAGCCATTTCCTTTAGGTCCTGTTATTTCAAGACTCGAATAGGAAAGAGCATTTTTGTTGTTTTTCTGTTAAAATCTATGGGTTTCAAGCCAAGATGATTTTATTTCAAATCCCAAAACTATCGATTAGAAGTTTAGGGAAAATTACTAAACTTTGAACCTCAACTTTCTCATCTGAAAAATTTAGATAATACCTACTCCAATTGTTGGTAAGAATTAAATGACATGGTAATGTAAAATGTCTGGTGTAGCATCTGGCATTGTGTAAGATCTCATCCCTCACCTAATTCTCATTTGGATGGTCAAAGGGCATAGAAAGACATTGAATACCTGGGGGTTTTAGGGGAAAGACCACCAGGATGGAAAACAAGTAGGAAATCCAAACCGTTTTTCAGTATTATTCATTTTTGTGCTGGTGATAGTCACCTGGGTAAAGGTGTGTATTTTAATTTGTACAGTTGGAATAATGAAATTTTCAGGGATTAAGACAGTCTCAGAATTCAGAATTTGGTTTTCAGAATGAAATTATCACTTGAAAAATTTAACAGCCCCAGTTGTAGAAGGAATTTTTTATTAATCATATTTCTAGATACACACAGAGCCCTCTTCTAGGCCTGGGTTGGGGCATAATAGGAGTGGTGTAGGATACAATCTGTGATTAGGGGATAACAGGGAATGACCGACATGAATGGCAAGATATAAAGGCACAGTGTTATAAGATGCTGACTTGAGAGGGATTGTCAAAAGAGCATTTTGATGGCTAAATATGTACCAGAAATTGTGCTAGGAATAAAAGATTCCAAGAGGTATAAAGTGTAATTCTGACTTTTGAAAGGCTTAAAAAAACTTCTCAGTAGTCATAGCAATTCCCTGTACTCTAATCCTGCCTTTTTAGGACCTGTGCATCACCAGTTCCTAGTGTGAGCCGCCTACCTTGCAAGGCTATACATTCCTTTGTTGCCTAGTTCATTCTTATACTGACTCCAAATTTTCCTCCATGATTTCCTCTATAGAATCTAATTCTGTTTTTACATAGTAATCGTTTAAATATTTAAAGTTATATTTTAATTTATTTTAGCATTTTATCCTGGAAAATTTCAAATATACAAAAGCAGAGAATCCATGGGACCATCGCCCAATAATTCCCAAAAGTGACTGTCCCATTTTATACTTCCATCAGCAATTAATGAAACTTCCATTTGACCACACCTCCCCTGACACTTGGTATTATCAGTCTTAAATTTTAGCTATTGTAGTGGGTATGTCTTTGCGGTTTTAATTGTAATTCCTGATGATTAACGATACTGAGCACTTTTTCACTGCTTATTGGCCATACTTTTTGTGTGTCAGTTCACTCTGACTAGCTGGAATTCAAATGTCTCGCAGCCCTGTGACAACTCTGGGAATTGTTTAGCTTACAGTTGTTCTTTTTTCCCTTAGTTATTCTTTGCCCATCCTTAAGGAGTCTTACCCTACACAGATACTGTTTAGAATTCAGGCTGAGGCTGAAGGGGAGACCTCCTTGCATATTTCTGGAACTCTTTTTGTTCATAGTGTCCATCTTTTTTTTTTCTTTGAGACAGAGTCTTGCTCTGTTGCCCAGGCTAGAGTGCAGTGGCGCCTTCTCGGTTCATTGCATCCTCCACCTCCTGGGTTCAAGTGATTCTCCTGCCTCAGCCTCCTGAGTAGCTGGGATTACAGGTGCCCGTCACTGCGCCTGGCTAATTTTTGTATTTTTCAGTAGAGACGGGGTTTCACTATTTTGGCCAGGCTGGTCTCGAACCCTTTGGACATCACTTGATAATGCCAAGAATAATGAGTTGTCTAGCTCATTATTTTGAAAATTGTTTAAATAAAGAAAAAGAATCAAATATTTACCCTGCCTTAACTATACAAGCCAAATCTCAGTGTAAAGAATGCTTGATCATAATTTTCTCTTTGTAGAAATACCCCAGCCTTTAAATGAAGGAACAATATAAGAGAATTTAAAAAAAAGAGGGACACCCAGATGTTAAATGCCTCCCGATAGACGTACACAACATCTCCTATTAGGTATTCTTGACAAACAAAATTGAATTTGAATTTGACTACTGATCCAACTACCAATTCCCAGGAAATATAAAGAACCAGAGAAACATGTTAAAATATACCAGGGGGATGTAGTCAGCAAAATCTAGACCATCATATACCTTAGGAGCCAAACAAAACTGTTTCTTCAATGAATGCACTGCAGTAACAACAACAACAACAACAGAAAGAACTCCATAGACAGCGTAACTGGGATGAGACTCACCCTCCCACTGAAAGCAATAAACAAACTAGACAAAATATATTTTAAAAGCTGTTTTTCATATAGAGAACAACAGGCAGCACAGAATTCTGACCCCTGAGAGAAAGGAAACAAATAGGTGAGCTCTACAACCTCCCAGCTTTCTACCTGGCAGTACTTTCTTGACCTCAGTGCAGGGATGGGGAACACAAGCGGAGTACACCCATCTTGCAGAGGAGGCAGAGATCAAAGATCAAAGTTCAGGGAGACTGAGACATCTGAAATATGCAGGAAAAGGTACCAGAAAGATGGATACTATGGGCTGGGCGTGGTGGCTCATGCCTGTAATCCCAGCACTTTGGGAGGTTAGGAGTTCGTAAGCATGTGTGTAACAGAACTACTCAAAGTCACAGAAATCATCTAAGTGATCAGAAGGGTTTTTGACACAGGGCTAGAAATAGTGCCTGGAAAACCTAATAATAGTAGGGAGATCCAGAGTTCTTAGAAGGTTCTTGCCTCTGACTAAATGCTACTAATGTCTTGCCTGACAAATTTTAAGACTCAAAACCAAACTGTTTCCAAGTAATTGAATTGCATCCTAGAGCAAAGCTCAAGGATATGTGTTCGTAAGCATGACATACAATCAAAGATTATCAGGCATGCAAAGAAGCAAGAAAATATGACCCAGGATGAGGAGAAAAATCAAACCATCAAAGCCAACTAAGAACTGCCAGAGATATTAGATTTAGGCAAGGGTATTAAAACAGTGACTATTCCTGTATTTTGGATGTTAAAAAAGTAAGGAGAGACATGAAAGAGTTGTTTTTTAAAAAGACCCAAATCAAATTTCTGGAGATGAAAAACTACACAGTGCCTGAGACGATAAATGCACTAGAAGAGATTCGTGCCAGAGTAGCCACTGTAGACGAAAAGATTAGTGAACTCAAAGATACAGCAATAGAAGCTATCCTCGATGAAACACAAAGGGGGAAAAAGACCCTGAGAAGTGTGAACACAACATCAGTGACCTGTGGGTCACTGTCAAGCAGCCTAATAGATGTATAACTGGAATTTCTGTATAAGAGGGGAGAAAAGGCATTTGGAAAAATATTTGAAGAAATAATGACTGAAATTTTTCCAAAATTTATGAAAACTGTAAAGCCACAGACCCAAGAAGCTAAGTGAAACCCATAGCACAAGAAGCATGAAGAAAACTGCTCCAAGGTCTGTCATAATCAGATTGCTCAA